TATTAACCTGCGATCGCTAGCTTCAATCTAATCCGCGCTGTGTGTGTGTGTGTGTGTGTGTGTGTGTGTGAGAGAGAGAGAGAGAGAGAGAGAGAGAGAGAGAGAGAGAGAGAGAGAGAGAGAGAGAGAGAGAGAGAGAGAGAGAGAGAGAGTGAGAGAGAGATGGTGTGTGTGAGAGTGAGAGTGAGAGTGAGAGAGTGCTGATTAAATATCCCTTCGAGGATTGTAATATTGAGTTTAAACGATTGTATGAACTCAATTGTATTTGCGTGTTTTAACAGTAACATTAGCATTAGCATAATCAGTAGCATTTACAAATAACAGCGTATACATATAAAGAATGAGACATCTAACGTACAAAAAACATACCTTTCTGAAACGTCATGTAACAGCTGTTCGTGCACAAATTCTGCTCGATTCCTCTCCACTAATATTCTCTAGATCTGATACCGGCTGAAATTGGTAAATCCTGCAGCCTGTAGCACGATGACGTAGCTGGATGCTCTGTTTTGGTGACGTCATAGACGCATGCGCAGTACCGATCTCTGGGTTATAATTCGCATGCGCTGGTCTTAAGTGACATGTATGCTCAATATTGTTCTGAGATGATGTTCTAACCTGTGTAGTATTACTATAAAATTGTTATAAGTAATTATTGATGAATAAGTAATTATTTACATAAATGGGATGCTTAAGTTATCCGAGTTTCACTCTACACAGGCTATGCAAAATAGTTAATTTTACAACATTTTAAAATTACACGATTTTAAACCTATTTAATAGATTAATAGCATGTCCTCCGCAAGTATTTTTTTTTTAATGTGTGTATATAGAACATTTTAAAATAAAGCCATTTTATTTTATTCAGGTCATATTTGTGTTGAGTGGAAGCAAAAACGAGAGTAGTAGTAGCCTAATTGTCTCTGTAATTTTAAAGGTACAATACAATAAGGTCTGTAAAGATTTTAAAATACCAGTACATATTCAAGTGAAAATGCAACAATATCAAGAAAATAAATTGATATATGATATTACCGTATAGAGTTCCTTCTTTAATGGCTATACTCATTTTTCCACAGTGATCTGTAGCCTATAAGGTTCCTCTTAATTTGCTGTTCAGTGTCTGCAAGACATATGCATGGAAGCTTGTTTTCGCCAAAGAGTGAGAAATAAAAAAGGTAGGCTAATTGCGACTTTTTATCTCACTTATAAAGTCAGAATGTGATATAAAGTCGCAATTGCGTGTTATTAAGTCATAATTATGAGATATAAACTCGCAATTGCGAGAAGGCTGAAATTCGGACTTTTTTCTGACTTTATAATACGCAATTTGGAGATATAAAGTCAGAATTGCATGATATAAAGTCGCAATTGCGTGTTATAAAATCAGAATTGTGAGATATTAAACTACTCTGAGGTTTAAAAAATAGAAGTATTTTTTCCCCTTTTTCCGCAATTGCGAGTTTATATCTCACAATTCTGAGAAAACACATCAGAGTTGGAAGATATAAACTCGCAATTATGTGTTATAAATTCATAATTGCGAGAAAAAAAGTCAGAACTATGAGAAATAAAGTCAGAATGTGAGATATAAACTCGCAATTGTGAGAAAAAGTAACTTTTTTTTTTTAAATGTTTTATTCTGTGGCGAAAAAGAGCTTCCATACTCAAGTGACCATTTATATTTAACATTATTTTTCTCGGAAGATCAAAGCACGTGCGATCGTTCACCAACTCTCTACTAGTAACTCTCTACTCTCTAACTCTAGCAGATGAAACAACAACACACTCCATAGTTTCAATGTTATGTGTGCAAATAAAAGCCTTACATGTTTGTGTTTGATTTGATCATTAAATAAATTAATTTTCCCATTAAAGTGTGACAATAAAATATAATCAAAGCTTATATGATTCAATAAGATTGAATGTAGGCCTACTCTCTCTCTGCACACACACACATACACATACATAATGAATAAGAACATTGTCTGATAGGATTATCTGTTATTAAATGTGCTTATGACACTTGGCAGTGATAGTGCTTATGTAACTGTAGGAATGACAGAAAGGTGATAAAGTTTTTAATAAGACAAAACAAAAAAGAATAGCCTAAGTAGTGAAAAATAAATTTTGGTTATTTAATGTATTTTATTTATTAACTTCACAAACCCATCCACCAGACTGAGCCAACAATGACTCGTTAAATGAGATCTGGAGTTCGAGTCTTCTGACACCTGTTGTGGAAATTTTAATAGTCATTGATCCCTAACAGATATCATAAGAGAGAGAACCTATTCAATGTGTAAAATATATGTGTGTGCGTGCTTGTGCGTGACGTTTCAGGAACATATGGGACAGGACAACTGACCTCAGGGACGGTCAGTTTTGGCCAGTTTATTTCAGTACCAGTTTGTGTCTTTAAGTAGAGACTGAACAGTAGTAAGGACCTTATCTGGGTGGGTGAAAGGTACAGCGGGTGAGGAGGAACCTTGAAAAGAGTATAAAGGCTGTCTCATATCTTCCTGTTGGGGGTCACTCTCATGCACAGCGTAACTTCTGTTTGTCAGACTGAACCTATTCTTGCAAGAATAAATACTTCTCTTTTGATTAATTTGACTCTGAGTGTCTCTTACGCAGTGATGACGTTTAACAGGATTTTTGCCACAAAGCGAAACGCGCACGTGATTGGAGAGAAAGTGAGGCTTTAGTCTAGTCTCCTTTTACCCTAGTGTGTGAAACCTGAGGACCTATATCTCCTATGATCATCTCCAGCGTCTGTGTCCTGTGCTTTCCTCTCCCTTGTGTTGGCCATATTTCTGTTTGTCTACCTATTGCAACAAAATAAACTATCCCCTGTCCGTCTGTCGCCGGGTCCTCTGTTCCGTAACAGTTTACTTGTGAAACTGATCACATGTGTATGATATCTCTCTAGTGAGGATCCTCATGTGTCTCTTAAAGGGATAGTTCACTTTGAAATTAATTTTTGGTATGTTTTAGCTTACCTCAAGGGCATCCAAGATGTAGGTGTCTTTTTTTCCGCAGTAGTTTCAATTTTTATATTTTTAGGTCAAACCGTTCTTGTCTGTCAGTCATATAATGCAGGTCTATGGTCACCACCTCAAAGAGCAGCACAGAGAAGTCCAAATTAAACATGATATAATGACTCGTAAATGTAAGTACACATTGATGGCCTAAGACACGAAACGAGCGGTTTGTGTGAGAAAACGAACAGTATTTATATCGTTTTTACCTCTTGTAAACACAGCCACGTCCAAGTGATCTGAGGGCGCCGGCGCTTCGGTCTTTTCCGGAAAGCGCTGGAAGTGATCTCTTGCGCGTGTACGTCACTCATTGTTTACACAGAACAGAGATTGTAGGTAAGACGGCTAATTAAAATGGTACTAATTTGCGCATTAAACCGTCGTAAAAGAAAACAATTAAAAAAATACAAATAAAACAATTGTATGAGTGACGTACACGCGCGAGAGATCACTTCCGGCGCTTGTGCAGACCGAAGCGCCCGCGCCCTCAGATCACTTGGACGTGGCTGTGTTTACAAGAGGTAAAAACGATATAAATACTGTTCGTTTTCTCACACAAACTGCTCGTTTCGTGTCTTAGGCCATCAATGTGTACTTACATTTACGAGTCATTAAATCATGTTTAATTTGGACTTCTTTGTGCATGCTCTTTGAGGTGGTGACCATAGACCTGCATTATATGACTGACAGACAAGAACGGTTTGACCTAAAAATATCAAAATTGAAACTACTGCGGAAACAAAGACACCTACATCTCGGATGCCCTTGAGGTAAGCTAAAACATACCAAAAATTTATTCCAAAGTGAACTATCCCTTTAAAGTTTCCTTTATCCGTGAAGCTCTTCCCGAATTGATCACATGTGTAAGGTTTCTCTCTGGTTCTCCCATCAGGTCTAAAACAAAACAAAAAAGTGAAATAAAAACAAATTTGGTTTGAGGATGGTTCCAAACATGACATAATGTTTCAAGAACATCATACTAACCTTTAAATAACAATCTAATACCATTCAGGAAACTGGACATTTTTATGTTATTATACAAATTAAATCTGGTTTGAGAATACAATAATTCAAAAAGGAAACTTTTTGTTACTTTTGGGACATGTAAAACAGTTGGGAGAGATCTCATTTTTATGGATTTATCAGAAGAATTCACTTCTGGGCCAGAAGTGAATTCTTCTGATAAATCCATAAAAATGAATTCTGGGCCTCGTGCCAAATACGACAGGATCCACAATAGAGAATGGCAACTGACGTCACTGCGACGTCATCGCGCAATGTATTGTGGGGATTATCCGCCATATTGTGAGGCCACACAAGCCGGTAACTGTGCATAAAGGCAGGTTTAGAAGGAAAAACAGGTAGTCTTTACTTAGTTTTCTTTCCTGAGCTTGAACAAAGGATCCAGTATAAGTGCTGGATTGAGCAAGATATAAATCCACACTGGATGATGCAGGCAAAAGAGTCCAATAATATTAAACAAAGATTACCAGTGAAGCTGGTCAAAAGGTCTGAGCAAAAGTCTTCCAGGTTAGACAAAAATGGGAAAACACAAAAGCATAGGCTAGGCTAGAAAACTTCAAGACTGAGCAAAGATACAATCAAATGCAAGCCTTAAATATACACACTAACTAGCTAGGCAGAGGTGATTTCATTGAACCAATAATGAGCAGTGGATTAGGAGAAAGATGTGGAAGGTCTTGTGCTCTCAGTCTCCCTCTGCTGGACAGACCATGGTGTGACAACATTACTAATCTAACTTGTGTTAATGAGAAAAGAGAGAGACTGTGGTGTGAAACCCAAATTATACAATGGTGTAACTGAGTCTTTAACTTATCATTCACAAAAAACAATCAAACAAACAAAACTAGCCTTCTTTAAAACACATTTATTACCTCCGTTGAACATTTCTAAAGGAAAGTAAATGAGTTAAAGTTGCTTGTTTCTTCTATTGATTTTTCAGCTGGTTCTCTTCACACACACAAACGGCTTCTTTTGAGAACACACTTCATCATTCCAGTGGCCATCTGTTGCAGGATAGAACAAAATATTTGTTTTTATCATTTTAGTGTATTATAAAAAAAAAATAAAAAAAAGATTAATGTTTATTGAGCATTAACAGCCGTTACTTACTGCCAAAGTTCATCTCAAGGCAGTGCTCATTTCCATTAGCGTTATCAGGCTCTCCAGGCAACCAGTATTGAAAGTTCATTTTGGTTCCATCAGTCCAGAGCCAAACTCCCTCCTGTGAACAGAAGAGAGAAAAGCACATTGTGTTTATGTCCACAGCTCACAAAGCTTAATGTTATCTTTATTCATCTAAAAGATGTTATCTTTATTCATCTAAAAGATGATTCCTCATGAATCCTAATCCACATCTCCACTTTAAAAACGTCAGAAATCTAAACAGAAATGAACAGAAATTATTTCACAGAAAGGGTATTAGTAAAGAACATACTTAAGACAGGGCTAAATTGCACATTTATCTCTATCAGCCATTCTATTTCACAATCGTTTCGCAATAGAAACACTCGAGTGACATCATCATGGTGAGCGGTGCCCATCCCTAAACTAACTATTCTGAGGACCTACAAAAACTCAAAAAAAGATAAAAACACATCTATCTTTATGCATTTTGAAAAATGTTTTAATAAAAAGCATGATAAAAATGTTTTACATACATGACCACCATCATTGCCTCCGATCCAGGACTTCGTTGAGGCGTCAGTTTCGTATCTAATCAGGTCCTGGATAAACCTGTACTCATCATGGCTGTGTGCAGAAGCAAGGTTCCCTTCATAGTCCAAGCAGAATTTCTGTAGAGACATGAGCAAACACCACTACTTATATATATATATATATATATATATATATATAAAAATATCTGTGACATGCTTTCAAATTTATTATTTTACACATGAAGTCTAAAATCTGCCTTTTGAGGCGGGACTACTTTTGCTTATACTGTATAGATGAGATATAACTAATCCTAATATCTAGGATTAATAACTAACTAATAACTAATAAGTGATCCTAACACACTACTCTCATGATAACATAAAATGTGTTGTGTGTGTATTTTCCTAGAGCTCCATTGTAATGTCTCTACTGTTAACTTGTTTCTTGTTATTTTTAAACTGAGAAGCAAGTTGAAATTATTTAACTGCAATAATTGACAGGTGTCACAGATGTTTACAGAGTTGTTATTAAACAAGAATATACTTATATGATGTTAATGTCATATTAGAAGCTGAATGTATCATACCTCTGCATTAATCCACGTTTGAGCGTTATTGTAAAACTTGAAGCATCTGCATCTAAAGGCAGACCATCCTGGCCAACAGGCTGTTAAAGGGAAGTTTTGTGTGTTATTATTTTTTATTTTATCACCATTAATGATCTTTCTTGTAATTTAATGAATAAATTTCATTTAAAGATACAGAATGTCACTTTTGTCCCTTTAACTGTTAAAAAACAAGAAGGCATGCAACATTATATTGGTCGTGCTTCGGCTTTGCATGACAGATGAAGGCGACTCTTCACAATAAATGCTTTACAGTGAACTCTGTTGGAGAGATACATAATGACAGTCTATATGTTCAATAAAACACCTTACTCACCAGTCGAGTAATAAAACACCATCTCAACTTCGCTTTTACAACATTTCATATCCCTTATTTCTCGCCATCTTTGAAAATCAGAGCCGATGTTGATTTTTGTTTTATTAAGAGCTCTGTCTCGTTCTCTTTTCCCCAGCAGACACTCCTCCGTTCACTGTTTGATTAAAACGGGTGATTCTCCGGAGGTTGGCGATTTATCTGCTTCATGTACACCTTTCTTGTTCGTTGTGACAACTAACCCTGCCACTAACTAACTACCCTCTGCCACTAACTAATCACTAACTACCCTCTGCCACTAACTAACCACTAACTACCCTCTGCCACTAACGAACCACTGACTAACCTCTGCCACTAACGAACCACTGACTAACCTCTGCCACTAACTAACCTCTGCCACTAACTAACCTCTGCCACTAACTAACCTCTGCCACTAACGAACCACTGCCACTAACCTCTGCCACTAACTAACCTCTGCCACTAACTAACCTCTGCCACTAACTAACCCTGCCACTAACTAACCACTGACTAACCTCTGCCACTAACTAACCTCTGCCACTAACTAACCCTGACACTAACTAACCACTAACTACCCTCTGCCACTAACGAACCACTAACTACCCTCTGCCACTAACGAACCACTGACTAACCTCTGCCACTAACTAACCTCTGCCACTAACTACCCTCTGCCACTAACTAACCACTGACTACCCTCTGCCACTAACGAACCACTGACTAACCTCTGCCACTAACTAACCTCTGCCACTAACTAACCACTGACTAACCTCTGCCACTAACTAACCACTGACTACCCTCTGCCACTAACTAACCACTGACTAACCTCTGCCACTAACTAACCCTGCCACTAACCAGACTTGGGCAGTATTTAAATTAAATGTATTTTAAATACGCATTTAATTACTTTAGTGTATTTTGTAATTTGTATTTTGCAGGTGTGGAAAAAATAAAATGTAGTTTGTAACAAAATATTTTGAGGTAGTGTATTTAGAGTATTTAAAATACTTAAATTCTTAAGAAAAATCACCATAGTAAAAGATTTTGCCATATTTTCGGTCTGATATTGGCAATGGCAATGTCCAGGTTAGATTCACAAAAATCACGGGACACCCTGTAGACCGGGCTCCCTCCAAGAAGTGAATGAGTTTTGAACACAGGAGAAGAAGTGGCGCTCCTCCTCTTAAAAACAGCATTAAAGGTGCTATCAGCGATTTCAGGCCCAAAAAAGACCGAAACATAAATGATCACATTCATCTAATTTTTCCTAGCGATCCGCTAGCTGCCCGCCCCATAAGCACATTTAAGAATTTGCACTCTTCCAGAGTCACTAATAAGTATTTTTGTTTTTTAACATTAATTATGCAAACCTGTTTTTTAGTCAAATTTGCTTGTTTCCAAGATGCTCTTTAGAAATGTTTTAAAGCATGCTGGAGAACATGATCATCAGGTATCACACACACTTGTTAGGATAGAGAAATGCAAAGAATTAGACTTTTGGACTGTACTAAAAATACACACTGACAGGAGAAGTAGAAGACTAGAGAAACCTTACCGCCACAACGTTCATTTCCAACAGGATCTGTTTCCTCTTAAAAAGAAAGAAATACTGCATTATTAAAACAGAACTGCTACTAATACTCTATTAGATCATTCTTCTGATTAGTCATCACAGAGTCCCAGGTGTGCTATAGTTCATGTTCAAATAACAGTTATGATGTGAAACGTGGAATAATACTCTTACCTGAAGCACTCAAAGCTATGAGAAGACAGAGAGACAGGTAGACAGTCCAGAGCGCCATCGTTTCTCAAAGAATACTGAAACAGAGTTATACATAAATTAATATTACAAAGGTTAAATGGTTCAATTATAAATTTTCATGACACGAACCAGTTCAGTAGATTCAGTATTGCGTTGTGCAGCCCTGGTTTATCTTTATATACTGGAGGAGAGTTAGTTTATCATCATCATCATCCAGCATCTGCTCATGTTCTCACATCCTGGTCAAACATAGTTTTTCTATAGTTTGTACTTGACCCACTTCTACACAGCAAAATCCCCCGTGTTAAATCAACTCTGCTCAGAGTACATATGGTCCCACTCTACAGAGTTTAAAAGTAACACTGATGAAGTGTTAAAGTTAATGAGATAATTAAGTGATTAATTAAGTGATGATTGATCATTAGTAGTGACACCTGATGATAAAGAGCAGAATTACTGAAGGACAGAGGAACAACAAGAACAGAAAAAAGAGAAACACAAGAACTAGGCTACAACTGACTTCAGCCACAGCCTTATGCAGAGTTCACACTGAACGATTTTCACTCACCGACAGGTTTTGCCGACAAATGCCCGAAATCACAGGCTCGTTCACGCGAGTAACAATCACGCAGAGTGAATTATCAAAGACGCGATCTGAGAGAATCGTGACGAGTCTCTGATGCCTGTGAGATATTTGGCATGGTATTTGTGTGTGTCTCTGTCTGTGTTTTGTTGTAGGGTGAACTTCCTGGTGGAGTGGAGCTGAGGCCATCAGGCAGATCAGGGGCCGCTGGCCACTGTCTCTACATTGCATAAAACCTGCCCCTTCCTGATTGTTGTGGGCTGGACTGCTAGTTCTTTTGCTGGTCCCCAGCATGGCGTTTCCTTCTTTGCTGTGTTTTGTTTGTTTAAATTAACCTGGCATTATGTTTTGCCAACCCACATTTGTTAAGCTTTAAAAATTATTTGTTATATTCGTTTAACTATATTACTTTTGTTAATAAACATTCTTTCCTGGTAATCCCTTAAAGTCCCCGTGAACCGGAAGTTGCAAACGACTTTTCTCCAGTGTTGTGACGTATTTCCGAGAGAAACGGAATACTAAATGAGGCAAAATGGTGGGCGTGGCTTTTTTCCCAACTAGCACCTGATTGGATCTAGAAAAGTAGGTGTTTTCATTCAGCCTGTCTACTGTCAGTTGGAGGGGCGTGATTACGGATGTTAAGAAGACGCCCAAACCGTGAAACCTACGTCATCAGGGAAGGTCCTCCAACGCAGAGGGGAGGGGAAATTTCAGATTTTGATTAAAGATTACGAAGCCAAAAAAGGTTTTTGTGTGGATTGACTTGCATGGATGAATTGTTCACCACAAAACGATCAATTTTGGCAAACAAAGTAAGTATGGTCAATTTTGAATTCATGGGGACTTTAAGCGTGGTTTCCTCATTTTGTTGTGGCCTTTGAGCCGGGCCATAACAAGACCGACAGCCAATGAGAGAGCAAGATACGGGGCAGCGCGATGTTCGGGGAGGAGTTATAGACCAGAATATCAGCATTTTAATAGATATATTTACAATTATATCAAACTGAAACAAAGCACAAACATTTGCTTGACCAGCAGCACATTGCAAAATTATTTATTTACCCCCAACTCTCTTTGTAGTCTCCCCAAACATGTCCTTCATAATCTGTTTTTCTTTTTCTCCTTTTCTGCAAATTAGCGCACAGAGAATTTGGATTGCAAATCTTCTTGCAGGCTATCATTTTTAATAACAATTTCAGTCTCGCGTGAAAACTCTGATCTACTTTTAAAATCGGGCATTAGATGAAATCAACTGAAGATAAAAGAAGACATTAAATCTCTGAAGATCTCAGCAGAGGAGGATTAAACATTTACATTTATCTGACGCTTTTATCCAAAGTGACTTACAATTGCTCTATATGTCAGAGGTCGCACGCCTCTGGAGCAACTAGGGGTTAAGTGTCTTGCTCAGGGACACATTGGTGTCTCACAGTGGATTCGAACCCGGGTCTCTCACACCAAAGGCATGCGTCTTATCCATTGCCCCATCACCACCCCATCACCACCCCATCACCACCCCATCACCACCCCATCACCACCCCATCACCACCCCATCACCACCCCACAACAACTCCACAAACAGCATTACCAGCTTCTCTTATTACTAACCAGACTCACTTTATTTCTGTCAGACGTCTACAAAAGCTCTTATTGAGAATAAACAGAGGTTTAGATGTTGATGATTTATTGAAAAAGGTTTGTCACCATTATGGTGATCAGTGTGTCATTTAGTTGGGCAGTTTGACTCTTGGCTTTTTATGTGAGTTTGTGGTCTTTGGAATAGTTTCTTTGTTTTGTTTTTTGTTTTTAACAAAACACATAATTTGTTGTAAAGAAAGCCAGAAACAAAAACGATCCGGTGATATGGCTGTGTAGTTTATCAAACCATGATTATGATGTGAATTAATGCTGTTGTTCCTGTTCTTGGTATGATAATAGATGAATATATATTGTTCATCTATTCAGTAGTGTAATTTTTGTAATTGCATCAGTACATGTTTAATGTTAATGCTGAAGAACATGATCATCAGGTTTTACACAAACTTCTGGAGTTCAAGCACTTTGAGTGCTGATGTCATTGCATGAAAAGTCGGTTTTGCGCTTTTTGGTGACTGGTGAAAAGAAAACATCCAAAATACACTTTCAAGTGTATTTTTTATAGCACTTTATATATTTGCGTCTGTAGATTTCAATTACTGTCCATCATTTTAAAGGCTGTTTTCTCAAAATGAGTTTTTTCTCCCACACTGAGCCAGAAATCTCCACTTCAGCAGCTTTACATACACCAAACTGTACAGTTTTATTCATATCTATATTTTGACGGCTTTTACAGAGGGGGTTATTCAAATTTGCCTGATTTTATACAACATTTAATAAAAAGATTTTGTTTTAAAGAATTCTGGTTATTGACAGTATTTTCTGATTTAGGGACTAAAAAGAGATATCCAAAATCTGCTTTGTAAAAACCTTTGATTCTAAAATATCCAAAAACTTGAAAAGGAATTTTGAACCTCAATTTTTGTTATAGAAATGTATACAAGTTAGTGCATAATTAATTAGATAAAACATATTTAAACATTTCAGGATATCTAGAAGCATTTTTTACCCTATTCACCTGGTGTCGCCTTAAAGCTGAAACTATGTCATTTCTGAGACACTATGAACC